CACGTGGAAAATAAGTAGGTGCCTTGTGAGAGCCAGCATGGCCTCACTAAGGGCCAATTGTTCCTGACAATTTTGGTGGCCTTCTAAAATGGGCSTACATGGATGGATGCAGCAAGGGCAAGTGACAGCATACATGTGGACTTGTGTAAAGCCTTTGACACTGTCCCATATGCCATCCTTGCTCTAAGCTGGAGCTGGACCACTTGATGGATAAGGAATGGGCTGTATGGTCTTACTCAAGAGTTGTGGTCAACACTAAATGTCTGAGAGCAGTGACAACTGGCCTTGTGCAGAGGCTGGTCCTGGGACTGGCACAGTTTGACATCCCCTGGGCAGCAGGGACAGTGGCACTGAGTGTGCCAATGACACCAAGCTGTGTGGTGCTGCCCACACACTGGGAAGGATGGCATCCACAGGGACCTGGACAGACTTGGGAAGGGGGATTGTGAGAGCCTCATGAATTYCAGCACAGCCCAGTGCAAGGTCCTGCAGACATGGGGACAGGCTGGGCAACGGATTGAGAGCACTGAGAAAGACCTGGGGGTGCTGTGGGTGARAGGCTGGACATGACCCGGCCATGGCACTGCCAGCCCAGAGAGACAAACGTGTCCTGGGCTGCATCCAAAGCAGCGTGGGCAGCAGGGGAGGGAGGGGATTGTGCCCCTCTGCTCTGCTCTGCTCTGCTCTGGTGAGATCCTGTTTGGAGTGCTTTGTCCAGCTCTGGGATCCTCAAGAGGAGGACATGGACCTTTTGGAGTGTGTGCAGAGGAGGCCATGAAGATGATCAGAAGGCTGGAACATCMCTCCTATGAAAACAGGCTGAGAGGGGATTGTTCGGCYACAGGGAGACCTTATAGCTCCTTCCAGTACCCAAAGGGACCCYACAAAAAAATTGGAGAGGGACTTTTTACAAGGGCATGTAGTGACAAGACAAGTGGGAATGGCTTAAGACTGAAAGAGAGTGGATTTAGATATTTGGAAGAAATTCTTCACTGTGAGAGTGGTGAGGCACTGGGAACAAGTTTGCCCAAAGAAACTGTGGATGCCTCATCTCTGGAAGTGTTCAAATCCAGGTATGACTGGGCTCTGAACAGCCTGATCTAGTGGGAGGTGTCCCTACCCATGGCAGGGGGTTGGAATGGATGATCCTTAATGTCCCTTCCAACCCAGCCTATTCCATGATTCTATGATGCCCTCAATGTAGGTGTCAAAGCACTTTTACAGCACCTCAAAAATAAATCAAGAGTGTMAGGGTTTGCTGCCTTTGGTGGGTTCAGCTTGAAAAATTTGGAGGTTGTCATTTTCTACGCCTTCAGGAACAGATCCTCACCCAGAACATGTAACTTGGAAAAAAAGACATGACAASAGCTACAGTTCACAAGGAGTTACAGGGTTTTCCTTCAGTTTCCCAACAGTTCATTGATTTTTATTAAAACTCAGAAACTAATCAAGCAAACAGAAACTYGGAAGACAAAAGCTTTAAAATGGTGAACAGAAAGTGTACATCTACAACACACTGTAACCACTCAGTGGAGCAATTTAATAACCATTTAGTATAAAGATGTTGACTTTCTTTTACACTCAATGTTGTCTAAGGTGAGGAAAACTTGTTAAGTGGTCTCTTCTTGCAACRGCAAAAAAACAGCTTTTCAGAACCAATACAGTAATTAGTATCAACCTAAACAGACCAATAATCTCAATCAACTGATGAATTTTGGACATGTTTCATATCTTGCTTTCAGCAATAGCATTTTCTTACGTAAGGTCTCTCTCCTTGTCATGYGTGTCCTGACATCTCTTTGACCTCCACAGGGACACCCAACAGCAGGTTCCTCCAAAATGCCAGGAGATGGGGTGCCTACAAAAGCTCTGACTTTAGAAATCTCTTTCTTCCATTCTACCCTAGATAACCCCTTACTGAATGGCTCACTCAGAACAAAGTTGAAATAGATTTTCCAGGAAACACAAATGTTTCTACAGAGTATTTCATTTTTATACTGGTACCCATGGAGGAAGCACATCTGATGTAGCTTTTTCAGCCTCTYTCAGCATTTTACCTTGGGCATCAGAGCATGGAGCAAGGTACTCTTAATATGTGCTTCAGCATACATAGTTTAGGTATTTCTGCAATGCCTCATTTACTCGCTAGTTTTTTTTTCAGTGATGATGATTGTTCCATTTAGAAAAAAACAGTTCTTAAAATGAAAATTCATAAATACAAACACACTTAGCAGCAGTCTTCCAAAATGGTGTTATCATATTTGCCAGCAGCTATGTACAAATCAAGAGGCCCTGAAAGCCCTAATGACAATGTTTAAATCCCCAGTCCTCAGATCCTATTGAAAAAATATATTTAACTTCCTTTGTTCAACATACCATTTTGTAGCTGTTTTTCTGGAAGAGAAACCAGGTCCACAGATATAGTTGGGGAGTGTTTCAGATAGGATYGAGGTACTCACATATGTCAGCCTGATAGCCAAGAGGTTTGACATCCTCAAGCACAWGGTAAAGCCATTTAATGCATTAATTTCTTACGTAGGTTCAGCCTCAGCAATGTAAAGCTGTGGTTAGAGGTAGGTAATAATCACATGGTTTGCTTTTTCTAGCTACATTTAAGTTCACAGTTCACGTTTAAGTTTTAGCTGTGTTTGGAAGTATCCCCTTTAAAAGTGATTTTAGGCTATGGACTTCTGTGAAACTCCTGTCTATTGATTTCTCATCTAACATTTTCCTAGTCAGAAGACACAATAAACCACAAAAATCGGAGAGGCAATTCAATACATGCAGAATCCAGATGTCTGCTACACAGGAACATTCAATGATCATCATTTGTTTGCCTGACATCAATTGGGGCAGTTAGAATGGCAAATCAAGCATGCAGAGTTGGTTATCAGCACAGATTTTTGTCAACTTAAAAAAGATTAAAGATTTCATACCAGTTAAAGTAATTAGATACTCAGTGTAGGGTGCAGGTATACATATTTTGCCTTCAACAAACTTTGGGAGTTAACAAGACACAAATATGCCTGGTGCAACCTTTAGGAAAGGGTAGCTCTTCTGACAACATGCAGCTTGAAAAGATGCTGTTCTTTAGTTCAGGAAGAGTTGTGGAGTAACTGGGAGCCAAGGAGATATGAAATGTAAAATCCATATACAAAACCCAGAGTAGCTTACAGATACAGGAAACGTTAGCTGCTTTTTGAAGCAGAAAACAGTTAAATTACTTGCCTTGAGAATTTAAATTCTTGTCCACATAGTACTATTTTTTCACTGTTACCCCCTTATTTTCTGCTGAGGGACCCTGATGTCTTTCACAGATGAGATCCTGGTCACATGTAGTGCAGGAACCATAGTTTAGGATATTGCAAGTATGGATTTGCCTCACAATAATCAAATACATATTTCCTCATGAAGCTAAGCAAGAACAAGTATTTGCTGTTTCCCAGCAGACACTAAGAACATCTCATTAAACTCTTCCGAAATTCAAAGCTATTCCCTCTAACAGGGTATGCAGTAAACGCTAAAAAACAAAAACATGGTTCACCAGCAAGGCAGAGAAGCAATAGTGGGGATGGTTAGCTACAATACCATCTCATCTTCACAGTAACTATACCAGGTCACAGAAACTCATCCTACAAGCCAACTTGTGGTCACTGTCTCGTCATGACAAGCAAATATTGTGCTATTTTGAACAATTTTTACTTCAGCATTCTTCTTGTTTGGTTTTCATCTAGGTAGACCTCCATGAGTCATGGGAGTCTTCTGCTCAGGGAAGCTACTTAAGCCTTTGCTGACCACCATTCCATTAAGCCTCTCCAGGAAAACGGGATTCCCACAGGAACTGTTGTAGTGAGCCCCRTGCCTAGCAGATCCTCTCTTCTACATATCTCTAGCTCTTTTTATGCGGCCRAATTTCACCTCAGCATGTGGGCCATAAAACCAATTCCCAAGCTCTATCTCCCCACCTTAACTCCCTCATATTCCTTGAGTCAGKACCTCTCTTTTGCTCCCTAATCTTATCCTTGGCAGCTCAAATGCTTTCCACCAGTTTGGTTCTATTCTTACTCCACATTGTTTTCTCTTGCCTCCATCCTTGGTATCTCTCAATTTTCATTTCTTACTCTGCACCAGTCCCACTCAAGCACCTCAATCCCCTCCCCAGTACTAACCCTAGAGTTCTGTTGGTTCCAGCACTCCTGGCTTCCTAATTTTTCCAACTATTTAGTCTCTCCTCCTCCAAGTAAAAMGTCTACTGGGACATATCTAGACCACACATCTTACTGCCTCCCCTCTGCTCCTCCTCTGCTTTTCCAATCAGATCACAATCGCTAGTGATGCTCCCAATGCTGCCATGTAAATTAATCTGCTATAGAAATAAAAACTAGTTTGTTTGTTTTTTGTTTTTTTTTACTAAGTTAGGTAGGTAGCTAGGAAGGCTGCTTCAGGTTTGAACACTTGGGATTGTTCTGGTAGCCTAAATATACCAACTGGATCTCTGTGACATGTGTGATAGGGGTACAACTACACTACCCTTTTCACTTGCCCTGCACTGCAAAACAGGAATCAYGTTTATCCCCAGAGCCCTTTTAGTGACCAAAAGGGTCTATATCCTGTCTCTTTGGGCTCAGCAGTGGCAAATGGCACAYTTAATCTGTTTTAAGAAGCCTTCAGCTTTCTTTGGAACCTTTAGAAAAAAAAAGTGCTGTTAATGACTGGCAAGTAGGACGCCGTGATGTCTACTGAATGCACAAACTGACCTGCCACAAATACACCAGCTGCAAAGTTACTTGCTTCAACTCTGAACAGCACTTCAAGCATACAAAGTAAGGCACTAGTAAAGCACTAAAGAAGCTGAAAATGTTCATCATTACTCTAAGTTGAACAACTTCAAAGTATTGCAAAGGATTGTCTTTGGAAGCAGGTTCTAATGCTACTCTCACACACAGGCATGCTTCCAAAAGACTGGGTTGAATATCTCTTATTGACACACATCAATACGCTTAGTGAATTTCACATGAAGAAACTATTTCAGATGAAAACTCTTTATCTGGCTATCAATCCACTGCATCTGTGTAAAGCCTACTCAGAAGAATTATCAAATYCATTTAGTAAGGCCACACAACTTTAAAAGTCCAGTATATTGAATAAAATAATTTTATTTGTATTTAATTAATTTGTTTTTGAAAACAAAGATTATGGAATCTGAAAGTTGATAATAATAGGTAACTYTTAACTGAGACTTAATACGGGAGATTCTCTACCCAAAAATATGTCAAACATTAAGATTATAAAGAACTCCAAYGTTCTGTGCTATACTGTATGATATGTAAACAATTTTGAAAATACTTCCCCATTATGTATTTTGACACAGTATGCACAAATTTAAAAAAATAAAATTAAGATGAAGTTTATATGCCTCAAGGGATTTCTTAGAAGTAAAGCCATCTGAAAAGCCATTTACAGTCTGCGGTGACAAACTTCTATATAATCAAAATACTTCCCTTTTCACAATGCAGAATAACCTGCTGAAGGCAACTCCCTATCAAAGTGATGCCAGCAACACAGATCTGATTGTATGACTCCAGCACTTAAAAGAGCACATTGGTTATACATGGCTTTTAACCCTGGGCTACAATTATGCTACCAGAACTAAATTCAAGTYTGAATTAGTCATGTAGAGATGTGTGTGTCGTCTGAACACTGTTTAAAGTCCGTGTTTTCCACATCTGATGAAGGTGGTGAAGACGGTCTGATGCTCTTGTGCTTACATTCAGGGCRGGATGTACTTTGCAAATACCAGGCTCTCCAATTAATGACAAACCACAGATCCCAAAATAGGCATGTAAAGCATCTGAAAGAAGGACAGAAAAGGAAAAATAAAATAATTTCAGGCTATTCAGACACCCCCAAATAGTTACAGCCAAGAAAAACAAGTAATCAAGTGYCCTGTTTTAAACTTGAGTTTTGATGGAAAGAATCCATTTTTGCCCAAAGCTACCTGCACGAACTGAAGTCCAGATTTCTTTTGCAACAACCTGCACACTACTTTATTTTTTTCTGAGTGCCACAGCCAAGAAGCAAAATAATTTAAGCATCTGAAAATAACTTGCTTCAGAAAGCAAATCTTTTTTTCTGGCAAGCATTTTTTTGCCTGSTTACTTTTATGAGCACCTAACTAGTGAACAACAAAGTCAGTGCCAATAGCTGCCAACAGCAAGACTTAGAGAAAGTAAAGAAGCCATTACTTTTCCTAGCTTCCCTCCCTCCTGAGAGATTATCCTAAGGATAGGAATTCATGCAGCCTGATCAAGAGATGACTGCCACCAAAATGGGATACTCCTACTCTCCATTCCCATGCTGATCCCGATGCCCACCTTACACCAGGGTTACAGCCTGCAGAGTCTGCCTTCTCTGGGTAGCAGCAAGCTATTAGATGGGATTGCCGGCCCATGAAATCACAGGCTAAAGATGGAAAGAGGATGTGAACTGCATGTGCCCCTTGCAAAATCTCAACATGTAGCACTCTCTGGAGGTGTCAATAATTTAATATTTTACTAAAATGAACCATTTAGGCCGGAAAAAGCCTCTAAGATAAGAATCTAATCCTTAAGCTAACATTGCCAAGACCAGCACTAAACCRTGTTCCTAAGTGTCACATTRTATCTCCAGGACTGGTGACTCAACCACTGCCTTGACTAGCCAGTTCCAATGTCTTACCACCCTTCCAGGGAAGAAATGTTTCTAATACCCAATCTATAGCTCCTCTGGTGCAACCTAAAGATGTTTCTTCTTGTCCTATCATCTCTGTGTTAAATAAAGCTAGTGGCGTCCACAACCAACAATGGTTTCATGTCTKTTAGCATGGGAACACTGCAAGACTACAAAATAGTATTTTCCTAAATAATTAGCTGAAAAGAGTTACTTGTTAACATGCAAATCTATGTAATACATAAAAAACCACAAGCAGTTGACTGTCGTCTGCAATTTTATCATCTTCCCAAAAACATTATTGCACAGCAAAGATAGGTTGACTACCTAAATTTAAASAGAGCTTTTAGAAAGTAGGAGCCACAGAAGTTTAATTCTGATTAAGTCTTGGAAACTTTTATTGCGTAGACATAAAATGATCAAAAGACAACCTTCCTTTCAGACATGAGACTAAGCTTGCACGAAGCTCAGCTGTGTATCTATAACAATGAAAACGTAACTCCTCAGAAAAAATCTTTGCAATGTTGCATTTATAGTCTTCATATCAGAACTGCACTAATTTTTTACGTTTTCCTTCAAAATTTGAACACAGACTTATGTCACCATCTGCCTGAAGAAAAAAATGCTACAATAAGCCTGGAAAATACACACACATGTGCACTTGCACATCAAAGAAAAACAATTATTTGTCTTGCCTTTCTCAAATCTTATCTTAAACAGTCACAACTATGCTAAAAGAGAGAATCATAGAATCATAGAATACCCTGTGTTGGRAGGACCCCACAAAGATGATCAAAGTCTGATTCCTGGCTCTGCACAGGACACCTTAAGAGTCACACCATGTGCCTGAGACTMTCTCTTGAACTTTCTCAGGTTTGGTGCTGTGACCACCTCCCTGGGGAGCCTGTTCCAGGGCCCAACCACCCTCTTAATGAAAAACCTTTTTCTAATATCCAACTTAAACCTCCCCTGACACAACTTCAGGCCATTCCCTTGGGTGCTGTCACTGTCACCACAGAGATCATGTTCAACTTGCCATGGACCAGGACTCCAAGTCCATTTCTGGAACACTGCTCTCCAGCACCTTGCTTCCCAGTCTATCCATAGATCAGGGACTCGCCCTTGTTAAACTTCATATAGTTAGTGATTGCCCATCTCTGTTATTTGTCGAGGCCTCTGCAAGAYTTCTGTGCCCTCAAGCGAGTTAACAGCTTTCCTTCTAAACAGTGCTGTTTGTGAACTTATTTCATAACTCTTCCAGTCCTGAATCCAACCCATTTACAAAGATGTGTAAGAGCATAGGGCTGAGAATGCAGCCCTGTGGAGCCCACCAGTGACAGATCWYCAGTCTSATGTCACCCCATTCACTGTAACCCTYTGTGCCCGAACCATGAGCCAGTTGCTCACCCATCCCACGATGTGTTTATCCAGCAGTGTGCTGGACAGTTTGTCCAGAAGGATCCTGGGAGGCACAGTATTGAAAGCCTTAGATTACACTGACKGGCTTTCCTTAGTCAACGAGGGGGGTAACCATGCCATAAAAGGAAATTAAATTCAAGAYAAGTTAAGGCACTTCACACATGCCAGGTGTTCGAAAGAGACTTTTCTAATCTCTAACTCATAAGGCAAATGTTTCATTAAGATAAACAAAAAAAATTTCCTCCAAATGATACTGATTAATCTATATAAAGCAAAGTAAATACAGCTAAATTCCTCAGGAATCCTAAACTGGATTTCAGGGAAGTGGCGAAGCAAATCTATCACAAGCACTCTATTTTTCAGTGTGGAATCACCTTGAAAAATTATCAGCTGTTGTTCAATATGAAATTATGAAGGSATTAAATATCAGGGCACAAATTCTGAACAGACTCTTGCTTTATCATGACTAATTTGTTATCTAATTTGGTCAGTTTACAGACTGTTTACCTTCCCTGTACAAAATGTCATGGGCAACACTACTRGCATAAACTTTGTTTTCACAGGTTTGCAATACCTTAATTGAATTCCCAACTTTTAAATTTAAAATATTTTAGCATCCTTTTGAGTTTTTTTCACTTCTTCAAATTATCCACTTCCAAAAACATAATAATTAGCTTCCAGATATTCTTATATAACCACAATCTGTAAATCATGGCACGTACTATGTAAACTTTGACTGTTTTTATATATACCAATGACTTCTGAATAAGCTTAAATGATTAATTTACTAAAGAAACAAATGTTTTGATATATTAATCAATTTACAGAGATACCCAAAATATTCACAAAATTCTCTTTAAACAGACCAGTTAAACACATACTAAATAAACAGCGACACTCTTTTAACAGTATTCTAAACAACAACAGCTCACTTMCTCTGTGGATGAACAAGGAAAAACTTTATCTGCCCCTTTCCACTTCAAAAATGAAAATCTTATTATATTTTGAAGGGGCTTTTTATCTTATATTTTTTGAAGGGTACAACTTCCCTTACACCTCTGAGATGTATGACTGCTGGAATGTATTTTTACTTACAACACMCTCACTGTAATTTTGAGAAGTTATTTTACCTGGATGGCTATCTGGCCACTTGGCAAATCCACCAACAAGGCGATCTTGAGTCGATAGGATGTAATTTCGGTTTTTCTCAAAATTYGTATATTGGAATATGTTCAAGAGCTGAAAAGAAATTAGACCATAATAGTAATATACAAAATCTTAGTATATTTTTTAATACTAGAATATAGTGCCTATTTCTCAGATAAGCAGTGACAGCACAGATARCAGTAATCTGGTAAACCTCCATTTCCTGCATTTTTTGCAAGATGAAAGACATTTATAGTCATTGGTGCATATTGGTGCATTTGTGTCAAATATCTAACTCTTTCAAGCAAAGACAATGGCGCTTAAAGAAACCAAAGCAAGTCAATAACTATCACTATAGCTGTTCTGTATACTACCTTCAATGTTGCTCCCACCCAAAAGGAATAGCAAGTGTCTACAGGTTTGTTGGGTCGTCCATGGTAGCCATTCTGTTGTCTCATTATACACCATCTTCTTATTCTGTTCAGTTCTTTCTCTGAAAAAACTTCCTCCAGTTTGCCCATCAAACATAGTGATGCAATACCACAAAATGTAGAGCCACCTATGAAGAGAGAGCAGAATTTGCAATACTTTTGCAATGCTTTGATACCCAGATTTTCACTAAAGCCTGCATGATCTGAGTCAGAACTTAAACTAGGCTATTAGCAATTGAATCAGTGGACTTTTCGAAGTATGAAAAAGTTAATTTTAAGACTAAAATCCAAATAAGTAAGATGACTCGAGTTTAGCAGGCATGTGAAAGTRGGGAAAAAACCCATCAACCTTGCTCTTGCATAAACAAACCAGCTCATTTTCTCTTAATGCTGTTTTTTCTCTCAATCCTGCACAATTTACATTACACAGCAGCCCAGAAAAAATGGCATTGCAACGGAAACATTTCTTCATTTGTAACTTAAAAAAGAAAGCTATTAGGATGCCAGCAGACTGAAGCAGAGATGCCAAAGCCAGTCTCAGACACAATCCCCCAGAGAATATAAACAGACAGAAGTGTCTGGTGAGCAAAAGAGGAAAAAAATTAAAAATAAAATTTAAAAAAAAAAAAGCACAGTTAATAAGATGAAAAGACTCCTAAACTCTTATGGCTGCAATACAGACAAATTGTGTTTCTAAGGATTTTTTTCTCTCAAGTAAACTGCACAGTGAATTAGAAGATAAACTCATGTTCTCTGTGTAGCCCAGCAATCATATTTTAAAGCTCATCAAAATTTATTTTGAGTCTACTACGTGAAATGATAAAATTAGAGGCTGGGAAAGGCYATAAGCAAGCTGCTGACACATGACTTGGGACCCCACGTTCCTTACACTATCCCAGAGCTGCAAGGTTATTTTCATTCTGATGCTGAAATGCAGCAGGAAAAGACTGCTGAAGTACTATCGTGAACATTCTACAGACAGTTAGTTAACCAACTKTTCTAATACCTAGGGATAAAATTTAAATTTTTTCAGCTTTATTGATCCAGCTKAAGAAAACAGACAAAAACTCAGTACTAAGGACAAAGCAAACATTTGATAGAATCACAGAATCGTTCGGTTGGAAAAGACCTCCTAGATCATCAAGTCCAACCTTTGACTAATCACCACCTTGTCAAATAGACCATGGCACTAGATTCAGTATCAGTCACATAAATATCAAGAGTTCCTCTATTACAAGCAGACCGCTACTTCATGGCATAGAAACATTTTGCTTAAAAATAGCAGTCTCTTGGGGATTCCTATCTAAATCTTTCATCTCTACAAAAATTAACTGTTGCTTCAAGATYTAAGCCCTCAACAGATGTGGTGATCTATCAGAAGAAATGCTTCTAGGTTTCATTACAGAAATTGAAATTGGAAATGATCAGGTGCATTGCACAAAATATCCTGCAGATATAATCCTCAGAGTAACAATGGCACATGTGGAAAAAGTTTGCTCTGTCAGCAACAGCTGAGAACTACAGCCAACACCTTTCAACAGAACACTCATGAGGTAAGATTAATGAGGCTGATATATTAAGAGCCCATCTGTTCACATATTAAGCTAGATCTAAAGGAAGAAGTGATATTTGGAGGCCTGTTTTGGATTTGCTACTCCTCAACACACTTGCACAAAATCAGAAAGGGAAAGCTATGGCATCCCTGCACMTCCTACAGCATTTCCTATACCAGTCTGAAAGGTGTAGAACACTTTCACATTCTTACCGTGAGATTCCAGTCCAGCTCCCTGTGCCAGGCCATTATCGTAAGACTGAAGAAAAGAAATCCCGCAAACCAATTACTTTAGAATCASTTCACTTTGACAGACATTGCAATTTCTTACTTTACTCGTAAAATTATCATCAGATTATAGGCACCATTTAACCTGATTAAATTCTGAACCTGCACAAGTTCTTGGCACAAAGTAGTTAACAAATCAGCCCTGTTTCAATGCAGGCAGTTTTTAGGACTTTCATGGAATTAATTTTAGTTGTGATGTACGTTAGAAGACTGAAAATGGATAAAAAAGAAAAAAATGTGATGCAGATATAGAAAGAAAAAATTCATATGTAATCAAAACAAGACAAAATTAAACAGATAATTTAATTCAAGAACAGTTTAACATACAAAAAGGCAACATGCAACTACCATGTGTACAATACTCAAATCTGAGCAATGCTTTAGGAAAGAAGCAAGTACATCAGGCATTAAAAAAAAATGAGGGGAAGGAGAACAGAAGCAAAAACAAAATTATAACACACATTGAAATAAACTTAAACTGGCCTATAAAATATTACTGTTAAAAAATACCATAACAGTGCTGAAAAATCACTCTGTTAAGTGCAACAAAAGGAGAAACTCAAGTCTGATAAAACACCAAGAATATTACAGCACATGAACAATTCTAGYCATGAGCAATCTAAAAACATATATTTATGTCAGAATAAAAAACTTTCTTCCCTAAAACTCCATTAAATCATTTTACTTGAAGAGAAACAAAGGATCATATAGGAAGTTTTTCAGAAAATGAAAAATGTTTACTTTACAAGAGTTCATAGAATAGTTAACGAATTATCACTAAACAAATACCAAACTGCTTAGTAGCAATAATGAGATGTAACATTGGAAGTCAAATTACATAGGTCCTATATATTACATCAACTGCTCAATTAATGATTAGATCAATTCTGATCCGACAGATTAGCAGCAACAAAAATCTTTCCCTCAACATCCTCCAGGTGCAGACTATGAATTTCTCATGTTTTCTCTAAAACAGTGACTACTAGATACAGGACACCTTGACAAACCACTTATGGCTCCCACAGCCCTAACCTAATGGCTGCAGGACTATCATATATTCAAGAAATTACCTAAGGATTTTTTTTGTACATGTACTTTTAAAGCTGACATTGATAAGGAAAAAAGGAAACAGAAGTACACACAGAAACTACATCAAAACTGTATTCCTGTTTTTGAGTCATCACTGCCAGGTGAAGCAACTAAAAAGAATAAGATTTGACACATACAYTTCAAGGTGCAGCTTGATTTCTCAAGTTTGAACCAGTTAGTTTTTAGCAATCTCTGTGGACTGCTGAATGTTAAAGCTCAGTGTCAGCTCTTCATTTTGCACTGCCTTTTGAGAATGCAATACAAATGTGCTACCACACTCCACAGACCCACTAATTGCTAAGAAAAGGCAAGCTGATTAGCTAAACTATGCTGGCAAACTATGCTAATTAACTCTATGAACAGCAATTGTAAGAGGAGGTAGCTTGCTTTATGTATGACAAAATAATTAGCTCTGGTGAAAAGCTGTTAACTGTGCATCCCAAACACTCTATTAYGTTAAGTTGTACAATTAGCTTCAAATTCTAATAGACAATAGCTGACCCCTGGCTAACTGATGACTATTTATTTTCAAAAGCAGCTGCTCTTTGGGGACTTGTATGTGCTAACCGACTAGGGAATACTTTTATTTCTTTGTCCTTTTGAAAAGACTCAAGAAACTGCATGCAGAAAAAGCTCTGGATTACTGCAATATGAAAACTGCATAATTAAATACCAGCCTCAGGAAACATGTAAATGCAGTTGGGTAAAAATCTTCGCTTCAAAGGCTACAAGTTTTACAGCTAGCTTAATTATATGAATGACCAATATAATTGCATTTCAAGGAGACTATACTAGAAGAAGTAGATGATATACTTAAAGGTTCTTGCAATATCTCTACTTTAAAAAAAACGAGTGTTGCAAAAACCAATGTTACGAAGTCTCTGGAAGTCATTCAAAATTTCAGCATCCCAGTGTCTGCTGTATTTTGATAAGTGATATATCTGAGTTTTGAATGTGAAAAAGAAGAATCAACCTATGCTGATAAAAATTGTGTGATTGGAATCTGGCTATTTTATTTACTATACAACTAGCCCAGAATTATTTTTGTGATCAGCATTGCATAAATACTTTTTAGTCAAATGACAGCAAGAGGGCTATCTATTCTGTAGGAAGACTGAATTCTTTTTAACAGTTTAAACATTATGTTCCTATCTTCTGCTGTTCTTGACATTGCCAACTACACAAATGCACCCCCATCATTCAGCTACCTTGAACTGTATGTCACAATTCTTATACTGCATCACTAAAGGCAACAAACTCCAAAGAATAAGCTAAAAAATCCACAAGCTTATTCCAAAGCTTATTACTGTGTTTAACCAGTCATGTTACTCTCAATCCAGGTAAGCTGCACTTTCCATGTATGAAAATTTTCAGCTTGAAAAACYGAAAGACGTTGTGTTAACTGTCATGTGGTGCATCTATGTGCAAATAAGCAACATATAACTGTAAATCCAAACCACACTTTTCTGGCAAAGCAGTTCAGTACTGAGCAGTGCTATCTGTTTTGTCCTGTAACTAATGAAAGTGCCAGAATGAGAGAACATTGAAGCAAAACAGGAATAAAAATTTACAATAAAGCCTACAGCTATATTCATTGCTTAGTTAGTGACACAAGAAGTAACAAATGGAATAATCTCAAATAGAATTTACTTTGAATTGCTCCATTTCATAGCTTCATTTCAGCACCATCCACAAATTCTTAATGGGAGAAATCAAGCCAACATTCTTGGATGCTGCATTTCACATTCACTGCATTTATTTATGAGATGCACTTTAAGAAATAAAATGTGGCCTCCCCTGTGATAGGTCACTGAACTGAAAAACATCTCAAGGAAAGTGGTGGAAAGAGATGAATGAAAGGAAGGAACAACCATTGCTCTGAAATTATTTTGGCATAGTCCCTGAATGTCTGAGACTTCTTCAGACACATCTGTAGCTCTAAATGGGACCAAGCAGGAAGCAAAGGTCTTTTCCTAGAATTGCCAGACACCTTGCAACTGAGTCAATTCACAGAAATAGCTGTCAGACCAGAGAGCGTAAACCCAGAAAACACAGAACTAGTGTACATGTGCCTACCAACTGCAGTGAATTCACAGCACACCAGTAGTTTAAAGAAGTCCTACTGAACAGTGTATAGTCAACCTACCAATTCACAGTAAATCTGGACAAAAATACAGCCTGTCTTGTTGCAGACTGGAACATGCTAGGATGACTGCTGCCTMCAGAACACTGCTCATAGGATCTCTCTAAGTTACACTCTGAGCAAGCTAGCCAGGAAGAGACACAATCTTTGTGATAAGCCACAGTGTCTTCTGAACTTTGACCGTGCCAACACTCCACTTTTACTTTACTGGTGAACTGAAATATTACCATGAAAAGAGCCTATSAGACTAGATTTCCAAGGAGTCTTGCTCTGCTCAGGCTTCAGTTATTCAACTTCTAAAAAGTGGTATCAATTTTTCCAATACGAACATAATGATTGGAACTTACAGGTACAAGGATTAATGCTAAACTCAGAGCAAAGTATAAATTTGGTTGAAGATCACTCTGTACAGTAAATCTCCAGTACTTTTTCAAAACTCTAAACTTTCAAGAAATCTCCACTTGCCTGCTCTGTTAATGTCCTCATCTGATGCTCTTTAGCCCTTGGAATGAAATAGTTGCTCTTGCTCCCTTCATTTTTTCAGTGCTACTTGTTACTTTACATACCTCTGTCACACTCCACTTAACAGATCTCATTTTCAGACTAAGGACTCCTAGTATATTAAATGCTCCTTCTACACTGGTTTGTACCTTCCACACTTCAACAACTTTCTTTGTCCCCTTTTCAAGGGGGTTCMTTTGGGACCAAAACTGCATTCAAATGTTCACAAGGTTAACAAACAGTGTGATGAACAGACTACAATAAGCATTTTGCTCTTGCCTTTTGTTTTCTATTCTTTTCTARTATTTCATTCTCCTGTTGTATTTCTGCTAGGCTATCTAACTAAAGGCTGATCTCAGTAAACACAAACGTCAGGAAAGATCGGAAGAGGAAAAWTCCTCCTGACCTAATCAGCAAAAGCAAGCACTCTGCCTATGCTCCTCCCTCAGACTGTGAAAGGAGAATGGATAAATCACTGCCCTTGGGTGAAAGCCACTGAACAGGGATATTCACATCCTTAGAACCCATGGTAACTAAYGTGAGCTACCAAGAAATTCCAGGATTGTATAGAAAACCCCCTTCTTACGGACTGTTTTCTGGGGAATGCAGGTGTGTGCACAACTTCCTACAGGATGGCTACGGAAAGGACCAATGGTAAGAAAGGGATATATCAAAGCAGACTGGGGAAGAACAAGTAAAGGAAAACAGAGGGGAAAAGGGGTTAAAAGGTGCTACTAGCATGTGAACAGACGCTAGTAGGTCCATATCCTTGTATGATTGAGCCCTGGCCTTGATCACCTCAGTCCAGGACTATGGCAGTATGCCAGAAAGCTTCTTGAGATGTACAGTAAGAAATACTTAGACATACAAGTACTTTCTTTAAAGAAAAACAACAAATAAAAAACAATTTGGTCTGAAGCAGGAGATTTTTAAGTCTTTTTTTAAACTTGTTTCAGCATAAATTTTGCAATCTCGCTGCTGGCAGCAAGTCTACAACAGAACTTGTGTGYCATCATAAATTTGGGTTTTCTTTGTGGACCACGAGAGTTTACTGTAAGCTTACTCACACTCAATTTTCAAGCTTGCTCAGCATGTTAAACAAATCGTATTTCAATCTTGGAAAATGTAACTCAATTAAACTAACAAAACATCATGAAAAAAATTGAAAGCTCCTTTACTCCAACCAAATATGAATACAGCTTGCACACACACAGAAAAAAAYTGTGCACACACTCATGAATATTTTTCTTCATTATATTTTGAATCTGTATATCTTTTAAAAAGTAGAACTACAACTCAATGAAATAAGAGGATTTTACTGATACAGTGCTGYATGCACTTTTTCTAAGTTACACAAACATCATCCCTCAGTTTTCAAACACTTGCTTTCAATTTTTAAATTATTTTAAATAAAGTGCATTTTTCATTTAATTTGCAGTGAACATACACACCAAATAATATTATCTTGCTAGCACACACATTTTAATGAAAATACAAATGCAAAAACTAGTGTACTTTGTAATTTTCAACTTGCTAGAGTAGGAACAAAAARTAAAGAAATTACCATAATTCTTCAGTTTGGACAGAGATGTTTTTTTAGCCATAGTTAAGATAAAAAAAAAGCTATAAGCTTTAAGGCATAGAAAGAAATAACATTTTGGGAACACTCACCATACTTCTYCTAATGTAGTCTATTGCTTTCTTCATATCCATGCCTGACCAGTTATCGAGCATGTAGCAGATGCAGGAAGCACAGTACACAAACCTCATATCATTCTCACTTCCTTCCAGCACTGCACAGAAACTGAAAGAAACATTTCTGTCATAAAACATTGCGCTGCCCGTTACACCAGAAAATACAAAAAGCAGTTCAAGGAATTGCAGAGTGTTTCCTTTAAAGATTAGTTTACTGTAGTCTCATAAATATAACCCAAACTATACCAGATTTTCTTCTTAGATGTGATTCTAAGCCAAGGAAAATGAATAGAACTATTGACATTTAGGGGCCTGAGCAACTATTTCCAGCACTGGTGTTTATTTATTCCAAGATGTTTATGCTTACAGTCTTTCACCTATTACAGTATATACAGACACATGACTTACCATTTTAGCATTTACTCTTYTGGGCAGAATTCTTTGACCTCCTAGGAATCCTAGTAACTCACAAGGCTTTCTTTCCTTACTGCAACTTCAGATCAGTTTCTCATGTATGTAAAAAGGTAAGTGCTAATACTATAATTTCTGATACAAATGATGAATCAGTTTTTCATTTCTTAAGTATTTCAATCTCACCAAACACTTTAAAATTATTTTATCTGAGTTATTTTGCATTATCTCAGAGACTCCTAAGATAATTATGGATGCCCTAATTTGGATGTTTGTATCAGAAAGTGGCCAGCAGGRGCAGGGCAGTGACTGTCCCCCTGTAGTGGGTATTGGTGAGGCCACACCTTGAGCCCTGTGGTCAGTTTTGGGCACCTTGCAACAAGGAAGGCATTGAGGTRCTGGAGTGTGTCCAGAGAAGGGCAACAGAGCTGGGGAAGGGTTTGGAGCACAAGTCCTGTCAGCAGCTGAGGGAACTTAGGAGTGCTCAGCCTGGAGAAGAAACTGAGGGGAGACCTTATCACTCTCTTCAGTGACCTGAAAGGAGGCTGTGGCAAGGTGGAGGTTGGTCTCCTCTCCCAAGTGGGACAGAGGAAACGGCCTCAAGTTGCACCAGGGAAGGAAACATTTCTTCAACAGAAGGGCTGTCTAGCACTGGAACAGGCTACCCAGGGAAATGGTGAGTCACCATCCCTGCAGGCATTTTAAAGACATGTAGATGTGGTGCTTAGAGACATGGTTTAGTGCTGGACTTGGCAGTGCTGGGTTAACAGATGGACTTCATGATCTTAAGGGTCTTTTTCAATCTAAATGATTCCATGGTATACAAAAATAGGAAAAAAGGTTGAATTACCTGTGACAATAACTAAACCTTTATTTCTTCTATAATTTGCTGCTTGGCAAGCCTCCATTTGGTTCAAAGAGCTAGTCAGTGTCCTCTGATGACTTAACTATTCATTCCCAAGAACCCAGCATACACACTGGTGCATGTTCTGTGACTGATTCAACTACCAACCAATTTTGTAACAGAACATTATAGCTACTACTTTTATGAAAAATGTGTTTCTTATGTTTCATTCCACATGGGGGTTGTGAGAGTTTTAGAATATAAAATATCTTTTACCTTCCATCCTCCAGCTGGAGAGCTCTCAGTCCTGCCAGTATGGCATCTTTATTTACTCGACTTAAATCATCTCCAAGAATTATCAGACATGATAGTCCTGTGTAAGTCATTGCTATGTGCCCACTATCATATGGATGTGATATACCTGGACCCTAGAAAAAAGGGGGGAAAAAGAATTGAAACATTACAAGATCTTATACTACAGCAGAGTTTTTTGGTTTTTTTTTGCAAATTTTTTTTTTTAGTTTGGAGGTAAACAAATTATTTTTCTCTTCACTCATTATGGTTAAACTGAATGCATACTGCTCAGCTCATCAAATTGCTCAATTTTCCTTATGAAACTATGGTATCACATAGCTCTGCTACCATTCTAAACACTTGGTCAGTAGGAAGATTTGGAAAAAAGCTCTGCCAAGAKCTATAGCTGTGCAACAGTTAATCAAAAAGATGGGATGTCCTCAGCTGTACCTAAGTTTATCCTGACACACCCCTGCGCATTAGCTTCCTAGCAGCTGGGTAAGCACTCCTATACAGCCAAACCTCTGGCGTTCCCTCAGCAAAGATTTTGCAACATAAAGATCTACAAGTAGAAAGCAGTGTGAGAGATTATTAGTAACCTGTCAATTGAAACAATACTAAATTAGTTGCTTACTTTCATCTTTATTTTAAAATAATAATCTGTTTAAATAAAGTATTTATAGACCTAATAATCACAGAAACATAGAATTTCCGGAGTTGGAAGGGACACACAAGGATCACTGAATGTCAACTGAGAAGCTAAAATGATAGTTAAATACCAACTAGTGCCACAATACAAATGATAGAAAGGAAAAAGGGATGGATACARCTGTGCTAAAATTATGATTTTTCTGTATGGTATTTTACAGGCCCATCTTGGACTGTACACTTCATGAAAATAGAGACCACATGTAACAAGACAACTTTGGATATCTGGGATGGTTCAGTTTGGACCAACTGGAAGACAACTACTTTAAACAGATTAAAAGCTATTTTGATATTGAGTAGTAGGGAAAGATTTTTAAATTATATTTTACTAGCGTTATTACCTAATCAGGTGCAGTTCTTATTTTGCAATTCATCCTAAAAACACAAGGAAAAAGCAGTATRAAACCAAATTTAATACTATGTTATGTGTAATTGGAATTTCCAGGTAAGTCATGCTTACTTCCAAAGCCAAAAGGCTTTGCTTGTAGTAAGAAACTGGGAGAAAAATTSTTATTACCCATCAGACAGCAAGAGACTGCTCTCACACAAGGGAATCAAAGAAGCTGGGAAAGGGAGGCAGAAAACAAGATGAAATGGCTGCTGCAGCAGGGAAAAAGCYCTTGCTATGCAACAGAGAAGAAAAACAGGAGAGTGAGTGCTGAGAGATGCACTTCCTCTCCCTTGTCTCCAGTCCTGAACCCTCTCYTGAGAAGGGGGCACAAATCTCAACAGCTCCCACTCCATGCCTGTGCTGCCAGTGCCCCCATCACTGTCTCCTATCCAGCATATTAAACAGACACACAGGGCACAGTAAACTACTCCTGTAACGTGCTCTCTGCTGACCTAATGCCTGGGTGCAGGCATGTTCTGAGAAGACAACAAAGGGGATATGCCCAGGTCATGTTCTCTGTGTGTTTTGCCTTTTGTGATAATTAGTCTGTAAGGTCCTACAGGAAACAGGTTTACCTGGATCTCAGAGATGGATAAACAGTGCTGTTCTATTGGCATTACCATCACATTTGCCACAATCTTACCCTTCCTTAAAAGAATTAACATATAAAGATGTAAGCTTTAAATATTTAAGCTTGGCTCAGTGATGGGACAGTGTCCCYTACTACATTACTTAACACAGGTATTCAAACGTAACTCATGGCCATCAACAACTCCTGCTGTCTACTGCAGAGAGAGCTAAGAAACTCTGGGCAAGATCTCTTCAAAYACTAATAAAGAATGCCACTAAACATACACTTGAACTGGCAATGGCACATTTTCAAAAAACTCTTTTCTCACACTGGCACTGTTGTCCCAAGACACGGTTCCTTCACCCAGGGTGCAAATCCACACAGAGAGTTCATTCGTTCTGACACCTTTGCACAGAGGTATGTGCTGCGTGCYAAGCTCACAAAGCCAACACATCTGGTTATAGCCCAAGAAACATGACATTTTCAAAACACAGAAGTATGCAGTCATCTAATTTCTAAATACATCCCTATTTAACAGCTACAGGACAATCTGTAGTATACTTTGATTTAAAGGTACAATGTATTTTACATTTATTGGAGAAGTTCAGTGGGTAGAGGTCTTCCCTCGGAGGCAGGCAGCCTAAGCTCTAGAAGCTTAATRTGTTCTTCACATTATAATGAATTAAGTTCTTCTAAAGCACAGGATTTTAGCTGATTTAGCTAATTCCAGTAAAAATTATGGTACATTGCCAAACACAGTACCTAGTCTCTACTCAAAGGCATCTCTGCTTCTGTAATCTCTTTACTTGTTTCAAAACTATACTGCAAAACCTTGCCATTTCTCACTTTGCAGAACCACAGAACAGCYTGGGTAGGAAGGGACCTTAAGGTCATCTAGCTGCAACTCCCCTGCCATGGGCAGAGACACTTTGCAGTAGACCATGTTGTTCAGGACCCCTAAAAATATAATACAGAGACATTTGGTGAAAATAAAAACCATACATAATACAGAGATATTTTGACCCAGGCCTACCTATGTCTTTACAGTATTTATTGTTATCTTGCATTTATATTATATTATATTATTCTGTTATATTCTATTTATTGTTATCTTCTCTTTGATTCACTCTATAAAATATTTTTTTACTATTCACCTTTCACCAGTATCAGTGTTGCAACCTTGAGAAAATACAATGTTGTGTGAGGAACATAAAATAAATCTTTTTCCCCCCCAAGTGAAAGCATATGCTATTTACCACAATCTTRCATAACAGTGGCAGCTACAGGCTTTCAATATTTAGCCCTAAAACTGACTCACAACATTTAACACCATATTGGAAACACCTAGGCCCGCCTGAAATTTTGAGAAGACCGTTTACCCCTAAATTAAAAAGCCAGTTTAAACTTCAGTAACACTGAATCAGAGAGACTACAATATCTGGAGCCATCTCAATGTACAATTATATTCTAATTCTAAAATGAATTATGTTTTAAATGTGATGATAGAGGAGTCATTCCTAASCTTCATTCACCATTAAAACTGTTATAGTTTGCGAGGGATGTGTGTGGTGAGTAGGTGAAGCGGATGTGCTTTTATTTCACTTYTGCTTCGCCCCAAAAAGCTACAAAGACACTACCATCAAATACACAGGGACAACAGCTAAATAAACCACAACTCCCAAACCAAACAYTTAGTAAAGCTGGGTATTCTTTCACAACTCTCACTTTTTTTTACTGTTTTGAAGGGTCCCTAGTGACAGAATAGATTTGGCTACCTCTGGCATGGCACTTTCTCACAGTTCAAGAATGAAATCACTGTAGTGGCACGTAATACATAGCAAACATCAGTGCAAATCTAAAATGATTACTGTCTTTTTCAAAAAATATTTTTCAAGATAGATTTAAATTAAACATTTCAACATAATGAATAAAGAAAAATTATGGGACTATACATATATCTCAAAGTCATGGCAGTGGATTTTCATGTCTTTTTTTTTTGAGTTATTTCAGAGCATTTCAGGCAACAGCATTGGAAATGTTTTAAGCCTTTCTCTGCCAATAAATCAAGTAGATGTAATTCCTCAAATGTAGATAAAATGAAAAAAGTACAGCAGTGCTTGAATAAAAACCACATTCACATGCRAACAATTTTCTAGATAGTGACCTTGTAGTTAGTTTCCAAGGTTACATGATTCCATTCCTTTATCCCTTCTGTATATTGGCCAACACATTCTAAGACACCAATGGACCGCAACATATTTCCAGTAAAGATAATATTTAAGTATGAAACATACAGTATTGGAAACTGAGAATTTAATTACAACACCAGAAAGTGCTGGGAGGATAAAACAATGCTTTGTCAATCTTACAGACTTTTTGTCTTCGTGGCCCTTTAGAAGGTTTCAGAACTGTATCCAAAATTAACTCTTCTAGCTTCGTACACTGGGAAGGATTTGAAAAAGGTTTCCAGTAGCACACACTGATTTAATATACTACACTGTRGAGGCTGATAAAGGTGTTATGAAAGGTGTGATACAGCTGGAAAAGTAGAGSCCAGCATGCAGGAAGAACTGTGAAAGAAGCACAATAGTTCTGTTCAGTGTTTGAGAGTGAAGAATCAAATCTCACTGAAAAGTGGATGGAAGATCTGTGAGAGCACTAAATTAGCCTTTGCTAACCTTCCTTCTCTTTATTAATGGCACTTCCTTTTCATATGAAAGTTTAACTCTCCTGAACCTCAGCTAACTGGGCTTCAAAGCATCCTCTCTTATGTTCATGACAAACAGGGATGCACAGAGCCTTGCCTAAGTCTGGGTCTGTATCAGGTGCAGTCAAATAAATGTGATTGAACACAGGAAGAGAAMTATCAGTTCCAGTTGCAGATATTGACATTGGAAGAAACAGTTGGGCCCAGTCTATAAATCATGGCTCTGTGGCAGTGTCATTGCCAAGATTTTGGGTGGATTTTTTTGACAATGGGATGGCCCACATGGCACCAGACACATTGGCATCAAATGAGACTCACTTTTCTCAAAGGATCTAGACAAACTCCAGAAGGGGGTCATGGGGACCTCATGAGATTTTAACAAGAACAAGTGCAAGGTGCTACAYCTGGATCAAGACAACCCCAAAYTGGGAAGGTACAGATCAGGAGAAGTCATCGAGAGCAAAGAACTTGGGGGCTCTGGTGGATCAGAAGCTGGGTGCAACCCAGAAATGTGCATTCARCCCAGAAAGTGTCATGTGTCCTGGGCTGCATCCAAAGCAGCCAGCAAGGTGAAGGAGGGGATTCCTCCCCACTGCTCCCCTCTAGTGAGACTCTGCCTGGGATGGTGTGTCCAGCCCTGGGGTCCTCAGYACAGGGAACCTGTTGGAACACACCTAGAGGAATCCACTTCTCAAGTTCATCAGAGGGACAGAGCACCCCTAGTATAAGAAAAGGCTATGAGAGTTGGGATTTGTCAGCCTGAAAAAGAGAAGGTTTTGGGGTGACCTAACTGCAACCTCCCAGTTCCTGAAGGGACTCTACAAGAAAGACAGAGAGAGACTTTTTACAAGAGCTTGTAATAAAGGACAAGGGCAAGGGGAAATGGCTTAAAACTGAAGGAGGGCAGGTTTAGATTACATATGAGGAAGAAATTCTTTACTGTGAAGGTGGTGAGGAAAGGTGTCCAGCATTGTTCCAGGGAATCCTCAACCCTGGAAGCATCCAAGGCCAACCTGGATGAGGTCCTAAGCAATGTGGTCTAGTGGAAGGTGTCCCTGCCTGGGCAAGGGGATAGGAGCTAGATGATCTTAAGGGCCACTTCCAGTCTGAACCATTCCATGATACCAAAGAACAGCATATTCTGTACCAGTTAATTAGGGCTACTCTGCCCTACTCTACCTCATGACAGTTCCTGAGCTAGAGATTTTTTCCTTTGCTAATAAAAGACCAGAGAAGGAGGAAACTGTGCTGAGATAAGCCACTATTTGTATGTCATTTTCTTCACTGCTGTGAAAATTCAAATTCTAGGTATTATTTTAGTATGTTTCTTATACACATTTCTTGTTTCGTTATTAACAATGAAAAATTGCCTGCCTTCCAAACATTCTGTAATTATGTGGTTAATACAACAAAGATACATAATCATTTATCATAATTGAAAATATTTCATGCACACACACACACACACACTCTCTTAACTGACCTTGGAGGGATTGAATGGCATCCCTAAATATGAAGAGCCTCTGAATCCACAACGATTCATGTTTGATCCTGGAAAAGATTAAAACAATACTCAACTTACTTGTTTTATTGAAGCATTCATTATAAACATTAACTCTCTAATGAGATCAAAACCTGTTAGCTCAACACTGTTCACAGCATTAATAGAGTGTGCATGTCATCTCTCAGTTTCCAGCCTTAGTCCGCTATCTCTCCRATTAACACAAAAAAAATAAAAGGAAACCACAAGCAAACTTAACTTACTGCTGTGGTGACTAAACACAAAGCATCAGATTTTTTTTTTTTTAATTTGGTGGAAATACAGTTTGTGACAGCACAGACTTGTCTTCCATGATCAGAAGAAAAAAAAGGACTGCTCCCCTGGGAAAATGGCCAGAGTTAACATATTTTTTTTATTCATCTCTGGATTTCTGCCTGGTAATACCGTCTGTTCTCAAGCAAAACTGTTTTATGATACTTTGCAACATGTTCAAGGACAAACAATTCACAGTTTTAAGCACATTGTAGCTATCAAACATTTCTGTCACTGATTCAGTGTAATTTGTTTCAAATGCGTCACAATACCTGAGCATGTAGCACACAGAAGTGAACCACACACTGTTTAAAGTACAGCTTTGCTGGGCTCAAACTTGGTTTTGCATCTCAAATTGTTTTCCGCTCAGTGTCTGAAAGTGAAAGCTTAATGAATGCCAGCCACCTTTTTTTTTTTTTCAGTTGTTTAGCCTTTAATCTAAAAAGGCTCATGGATATTAGGGAAAAATGAACCAGAATAAATAAGAATGAATAGTCATAAAGCTGAAAGCCCTAAGTAACATCACTATGCAATGTGGCCTACAAGTTCTGGCGTAATTTAGCAGCATATTACCTTCTAATTCTAAATATATTCTGTATATATGCAAAAGTTAAACGAGAAAGGTTTCCTCAGCCTAAGAATTTCAACTTGGCCTGAAGCATGCAAGTTTTTCTTCAAGACACATCTTTCGATCTAACTGACATGAAGTGAAAAGCCTGCAATTCTCCACTTCCTCCACMGCTCAACCGAAAGTACTTTTTAATGATTCTTCATATGTAATGAAAGCAACTTCAGCCTGGTTAAAAGCTGGTGTGCCATAGTCAGATCCACAAAAAGGAAAGAGAAAGAATATCTGCATTKGTAGACAAAAAAAACCCATAACTGTTTTATTTTATAAATAAAATATGTTCTCAGCGGAAAACGTATGTTGGTTCTATTCCAAAGTCAAAAACTTGCATTTAATGCATCAGCCTTTGGAAAGCATAAAAAATTAAATGAGTTTTAAAGACTGATCTAAGGTCCAGAAGGATGCTGCCCAAAAAAGCATCACAATTTCAAAAATGACCCACTGTGAATAAATAAGTAAGGGAAGATACAGAATTCCTCCCTGTTAAGTCCCAGATTTCCTAGACGACATTGTGGGGGAACAAAAATCACCACTCAGTTTTATTTTCAGTAAAAATGAATCAGTACTTAAGCAAAATAGAACACTCACTTTGAAATTATACTAGTGTGGAAAAACCTTTTATTCAGAAAACACTTGCTACGCTACTGACATACAGCTATGCTGGCCTGCTGCAAAGGGAAACATGCTACAATTAAGATAGCTCTGCAGTTGAACAGGACTCAGATGATAGCTGCTAGATGGAAGGATTCATCCCAGAAATACTGATTYCCATCACTTGCTTTTGGGAGTGTCRTTTACAATTCATTATCAAGGCAGAAATGCCAGGATGAAATCTAAGTTTTGTGTGCTGTAGTGGGTTGCTTTGATTGCCTTCTGAATTCACAGATACTATGCAAATACATTTAAAACAGAGTACATGAATGAAATAATGTTCTCTTACTTCCTTCAGATATTCAATTTTCGTGTAGATTTTAAAACCTTTCTTATATTACTAAACTTCTGTCAACTATAAAACAGCATTTGCAATTTTAAAATGCTGGATTTTTAACTGCATTGCTATCAATTTAAAATCTGKTTTGACTCTTTTCGTCAGTACTACTGATCCCCCATTCTATTCTTCACTGGCTCCTAGGAAAAACAGAAGACCAGCATGCCCTTAACTACTTCATGGCAAACTTTGCAGCAAATTTTATCCCATCTTGAAATCCATGAATGTAGATGCAATAGATGCTTTCTAGATCTTTAGTATTACAAGTGAGTTGCTAAGTTTCTAGTCATAATACATGAAGTAAAAAATAGAATTCTGAATTGATAAGGAAGCTTTAAAGCAGGAAGTGAAAACAGSTCATGTTTAACCACATGACACTGGAACAGTGAGGTCATGTCTTGAAATGGTTTTTAGCATCCTGTGAACATACAAGTTCAAAAAAACAAATGGCAGCCAAAGGGAAGTTCRGGAAATTACTTTCTTTCAGCTTATGACAAAACTTTACAATGTGAAATTTCATCTTCTGTGAAGCTGGTTTTACATTTTATGGCAAAGTACTTGTATTTCTTGTTTTATGTAATAGCTTAGTATTGCTAATCAAATGCTTTATGTTCCTGTAAAGAAATCAGAATGGGCTGTCAGAAACAGAATTAAAAATGAAATAAACCCAAATTAAATAGATATGATATGCTTATGTCCCTTGTAAAAAAACTGCTGGAGTGGCCAGTTCAGCTCCAGCAGTGTTCGCTGCCCATTAGTTCAGCTGCAGCTATGAAATGGTACCACCTGGTGTTCATTTCCACCATTAACCTTACTTAGCCACTTTCTGCATGAGCTTAAGACACAGCAGAGTAATAAATATTTCATAAATTGCTGTTTAACTATTGCAATTTTAACAAAACACACCTGAAAAACTTTTCACATTTGACAAGTAAAGAAAACAGATCCTTTTCTGAAACCAGAAGACTTCATGCCTAAATCTAGATCTGTAACTCTCCTGTGATGAAAAACATGTTACTTATGGGTCCTTAAGCCAGAAAGGCCTTAAGACATGCAAGAGCTTCCAGCGATGACCACAGACAATCTATACTAAGAGTACTTTTTTTTTACAGACAGGACATTTTTGTTATTTATATTTTATGGTTTTTCTTGCATGAAAGCATTGATAAATCTTACCACTACTTTTTCACATTCAGATTATCTATGCATTCCTGTGGCTGCAAGGCTTCTCAGCTTTTGCTAAGTACAGGAGTTTACATATGTCACTAAAATCTTAGAATATATATAAAAAAAATTATAGCTTTAACATAGGCTGATTCAACCAGCAGATCCAGATAAACGTGTGCATAAGCTCTTCTCACTGAACTAGAGCTTGTAATTGTTCCCGTAAATCAAAGCACAGTATGTCACTAAACGCAAAGCTGCATCCTCTAAAATGCAAGTCCATTATAGATGAGGTAAATATTTCAAATGTAGCCATTAAAGGAAGYTATGTTGGAGGAAAATTTGTATTTCTGCTGAAGAAACTCATGAAGGCTCACATGTATCAATGACTTCAGAAAAGTCAGTGTCCTCTTACACACCTTTTTTCAGTACCACCTCATAACCAGAAAGACTCATTAACACAAATCCAAATTTAGAGTTTGATAGAACTACATTTTAGGACTATGATGTAGCATACTGCTTTTCAGTCTGTTACCCATGGGTTCCAGGGACTCAGACCAACAAATGAAATCTACTTCAGTGTTTCTTTTGCTTCCATTTCTTAGTACAGCAAAGCTAGTACATCCAGCTGTCAAAAAGCACAACTTTCGTCCCTCTCCCTTAGTGGGCTGGTACTGGAGCTCCCAATGAACACAATTCGCCAACGCAACACACAGCTAACCTTCTGTTAGATAAATAAATGCATGTTTTTCTGCCACTTCAGCAAGCTCTCAAGCAGGGTCAAACAAATGCCACAGTTCCTATGGGGGAGGATGGTGGATGAATATGGCCAAGCAGTGTGCTTCCACTGTGTAATTAGATTACTTGAGTACAAAGCTCTGGATTCACTCTCTTTTACAAGTGCTGAACTGGCTTTGAATGTGACATGCAAGAAATTGGAATACATCKTTCTTAAATTGCTATGAGTTGCACTTTAAGGTAGTTGTAATAAACTTGCAATTCTGTCAAGGAGCAAAAACAGTAAAACAGTGACSTGATAAGGACCTTAAGAACAAGCAACTAGTTAAAAGAAGGTCTTTTGTCAACCCATTTCCAATTTCAYTAACACTTCAAAAAACACATCTTAACCTAAATATGCATCATTGCTGGTAAGGCTTGTAAAAACAACATCACCCTCCTCGAAATGAAAAAGAAGAAAAAAAAAACACCCCACTTTTTAAGTTTTCAATTTCTTTCTAAAAGGAAACATAGTGAAGTTTTCTTGCAATGAACACACAAACAGAACAAAAAACACGTTAGCTGTTCGTCTAAGCAAAGAATTTACTAAAAGGGAAGAAAAGGTAACAGTAGCCAAAATCGATGAAAGACAAAGCCAAACTATTTAGCAAGACTTTAGAAGACAGGAGCCCTTCAAACGGGCAAAAGGCAGCAGTGACTTGAAGCATTTAGCTAAGGATGTGTTTCTGTGYGAGGGTCAGTTTGCATGTGTCACATGCCATTCCCTCCTAATTAAMAGTGGTCCTGAGCCAGTCTCCAGAAGACTTGAGCTACAATTATGGTACCTAAAGGATACTAGTTGTTTGAATCACAGCTACAAGCCCACAGAAGAATACAATCTATCCTGATGGACCTTAATCTTCAGGTTCCTTAAGTGCACTTTGATTAGGCTGACAAGAGCATGTATTTGCTTTCTTACTCAACTAGATCAGTATCTCACCACTTAAGCATTAGAGAGTTTTAGTTTTACATAAAACTTCAACGGCTTCAAAGGCTACAAACCTCTGAAGTGAACCGATCATTAGACATCAGATACATAACATACCAGTAAATACAAACATGTCACCTAAAACTATCACAGGCTATTGTAAGACTTTATCTAAGTGCTGTAAACCACCAAATTCTGAATTTTCTATCAGGATCGTAACGCTGCGGTGGGTTGACTCCAATCAGCAGCTGAGGTAAGAAAACAGAGAGATGGAGAGAAGACTTACAGAGYGAGAAGAGACAGTTTAATAGGTGAAGCAAAAGTTGTGGGCACACACAAAGCAAAGTAGGAATTAGTTTACTACTTCCCATCAGCCAGGCAGGTATGTAGCCACTTCCCAGAAAGCAGGGCCTCAGCAGGTATAAGGGTTACTCAGGAAGACAAATGTCAGAATCACACACAATGCCCCCTTTCTCCTTCTTTTCCCAAGCTTTTATGGCTGAAAATTATGTCAGATGATGTGGAGTGTCCTCCAGTCAGTCCTGAGGTCAGCTGTCCTGGCTGTGTCCCSCAGCTGTATCCACCATAGGAAATGGARTGCAGAGGAGGCAAAAAGAATCAGCCTTGACTGGCACTGCTCAGCAACAGCTGAAAATACTGGTGGTTACCAAGACTCTTAGAGCCACGCTCAAATCACAACAGTTTAGAGGCTGCTATGAAAAAAATGAATTCTAGCCCAGCCAGTATACCTACTATAATGGTTATTGATAAACAGATTGATAACCTAAGATTTCAAAGCATCAACTGTTCTGTGTACCATTCACTGGGAAAACCACTGCAAGGCAGCCATAATTCTCAAAATAATTTGAATTTACCATCTTAAAACATGCTTCAAGTAAAAGTCAAGTGTTGTGCGTAATGGAACCTTTGGAGGGACCAACATGAAGAGCAGAAAATTTATTATCTCTGGTAAGACATACAGAAATTCTTTTTGACTGATACCAAATTTTAGAAATTCAACCACTGCAACCAATGCAATCGAGAAAAAACCCTAAGATTCTGTCAAAGTATATTCCCATCTAAAATGTATATGGGAATTGAAATTGGGTTTTCAATCTCAGACCCAGACTCAGTAAAGACTTTTATCAAGTACAATACAGTTATTTTAGATTGCTGGAATTCATCATTATAAAACAGTATTTTAATAAAAAGGTTTAAAAACCAATATTCCACAGAAACAGAGATTTATCACAATGCATGAAAAGAATTGCTGCAACAGCATGTTTCTTGAAAAGTAAAAYGTTGTGCTTTCTTGGTTTGTCTTTTTTTTTTAGATGGACAGATTCCAATCCACCAAGCTGGCAATCACCTGTTTAACTYGGGATGCACAAGCACTTTCCAACCAAAAACTTCAGTGCTGTAGCCTACCAGTTTAGTTCCTTCTTCAAAGACACCTAAAGAGGGAGCAGGAGCTCTGCTGCTGGGAGGCTGCCAATTAACAAGCACCGATCCCATTCAGGATTAAAAAACAGAGAGCAAATACATTTTGCTGAAAGCAGACATTACAGAAGTGTAGGTGTTTCCTTCTTCATATTTAGCCATCCAATATCCAACCSGCTGCTATCAGCATCATTTACAATTTGCACTTTCTATTGTCCAATAGAAAAAGCAAAAACTAAATACAAATAATGCTGYAGTTTCAGCAGTCAAATGACCAGACAACGGCAGTGTTATTACCAAAACCATAAGAACAAGAGTTATTACAGAACTGAAGGGAAGCTTATTCTTCTAGTGAAAAGCAGAGATTTATTATTTGGAAAGCACAGAATGCACTGCCAAAAGTGCCCTCCCCAAAACTCCTCTCAGTTTTATGAGGGGATGATAGCTAGAAAAAGGAGCACATCTTTGATGAACTGTTAGCMTCCACATCAGCACACTGAGATTTTTACTGCCCTCCCTAGGAGGTTCTAGACAATGGCAATATTTAAACACAGGTAGAACCCTCCAGAGAACTACTGCAAACAGACAAACAGAAATGCCTGTTCTGATCTCTCTTCTTGCAAAYTTGCCAGTTCTTTTGGAATGAAATCCCAAGATAAAAGTCACAAAGTGAGCAATTCCTAAAAACAAAGCATGTACACTGGGGAAAGGTTTTTTTAATGGTAAGGCACAGGAACCTGATAAAAGTTAAAAAAATTTGTAGGAATAATTATGTGATCTAAACTCCTAATTTTCAAGAATCAATYGTGGAATATAACACAAGACAAAGGAAATCTATTAGAAATAATTCTTGTGGTGGATCTGATAGTTTTTGAATCTCCAGAGTATGAAAAAGGGTTTTTTTTTTTAATTACTGTAAAAATAAAGCATGAGAAATCCTGATTTCCATACACTTACTTCATAAAACTTAAATGTTACAGACCTAATTTGTAGTATATAATTTGACTTAATTAGAGGATATAAGGAAACACACAATTTTCTTTCAATATCCACCCAGAGTACATGATCGKGGTTTTACAGACAGGCACCTGGAATTGCCTTTTCCCTTAGACACCACCAGCCTGGAGCTATGCCCACACCAGCATTTAACTGGTGACACTTTTGTCATAAAGCAGCAGGGCCTCGCCCACATCTCCCTCTCTCCTTCCTACCCCTTCTTCTGCTACCAGCCATTCACCTGGGCTGCCACAGAAAAAACTGCCAACATCAACTAGCCTACAGGAACAGCACCTCTCTAACTTCTGTCAAGTCACTAGGAAAGCGACATTTCCTCTGTATTCCCTTGCCAACTTGAATCTGCTACGCAACTTCCAATCTGAGGACAGCTGGGATTCAGCAGCAGCATTATTCCTTCTCAAAACCTTGGGTAAATTCAGCGTTCATACATCTAAGGAACAGAGTTTTCTTTCTCAAGTAGTGACTCTGTCCTTTTTGCTTCTTACCCTTACACCTCCAATTCTCCAAAAGCTGTTGTAAATAACCACTCCCGTGCTCAGATCTCCTGGCATTGGAGTGGAAATCAATGTAATCATTATTAGACTTGTAATACTTTCATAACATAAGCATTTATTTTAAAAACAAGTAAAACATTCCTCTGAGATGCCCAAAGATGCAACTTTATTATACTATTTTATASTGGCTTATTTTCAAATTAATTTCTGCTTTTTCTAGTGTTATTGTTTGTGAGGGATCTATTTCCAAGATTTGCTCAACATCACTACCTCAAATTACTGGGACAGCACTTCAGGAAGGTCGACCTTGTATTTTATAAAATCAAGAGCCATCCATGATTTCCCAAGTAAAATGCAAAAGTAAAGAAGTTAATATCAATAAAAAAAAAACTAAAAAACTCACTCACTGTCTTCTGTGGGAAGGACCTGCAGGGAATAAATCCATTCTATTATATCATCTTTGTTCACCACATCTAAGGAATCCAACATATCCAGACCAGAGAGAGCGAAAAATGCAATTGTCAACCTAAAAGAAAAAGATAAGACTTACACTTCCCACCATAAATATCACGGGGAAATTAAAAAACGGTTGCAGCAACAGATATATCTATSAATTCTGAGCCTGTAACAGTGGTGCAACACAGAGCCTAGCTCAGAAAACATCGAAGTCATCTACTGGACAAARTAACATTCGTTGTATTGAAAAAAATTGTCTGTCTCAACAAGGTTTTCATATAAGCTGCCCCTCCTTTCCCGTAATATTGATATGTCAATTCAGAATTTACTTAAGGGACTGTTTACCCCCCCMAAAAAACCCCCAACGAAACAACCCACTACAAAGTAAACTAGGTTATGGTTTTCACATATGGAGCACTAGTTCTCTGTAAATAATTCTTACATGAACAATCCCTTAAACATGCATTAGGTGCATATGCAAGGTAACTCTTAACTACAGTAAACTGCCTCTCATGGTGTCCCAAACCCAATTTCAGATGGTTAGATATCAGGAGTCAAAAGCCTACATCATAAGCAAACAATGTATACACAGGCATACAGGATGAACTAACACCTAGAGGTACTTATTTCTGGTCCCWGGGTGTAAAGCAGCCTAAATGACTACCTTATTTCAACATCTAAAATTAAGTATGTCACATTCAATTATCCAAAAGAGCAGCAGAGTAATTAGTATGCTGAATGTCCTTCTTTCCTACAACTTGTTTCGTTCCATRAATGTGGACTATCACACCTGCTAACTAACACCTTTTTTTCTGGGTTTAACTTAAACCATTGCAGCCACCCACAGCACAGCCCTCCAACAGGTGCCTTACTTAATCTGACAGAGCACCAAAGCAATAGCACCGAGTTAGGAACCTGGGAGAACCTGCTGTGAGAGAAAATGCTTCTGTAATGGTACCTTGGATATTCTGACTCAGACTAAAATTAGCTGGATGTGTATTTTGCCACCCACACTTGTCTGCCGATCTTTCTAGAAATTCTTGTTCTCCTTACATGAGGTAAGATGATGGATTGTGAAACAACAGCTACACATGCAGAAACTGTAATTCAGCATGCCAAGGAAAACCAACAGTTAATACCAGCTTTTCTCAGGAGACTAAGTTGTAATTTGTATTTACCTCACAAACTGATGAGCCACCTTAGTCACCACGAGCTGAGCCCGCTGAAAGAGATACGGACAGAAGCCTCCGCAGCCACTTAATTTCTGCATGAGGTTCTGCATCAGAACCACGAACAGTAACACCACAAGTMAAATGGCGACGTGAGTCAGCCCAAAACACACATCCAAAAGAATTATTCTAATTAAACCACAGCAGCCAAATGACAATTGCATAACAGCAGACGTCAATCCCAATACAGTGGCACAACCTCCACAGGACATTCCTACCAGTGGGCTGGTCAAATATGTCTCATCACTATTATTATTTCCAACATTTCTTTTTCTTTTTTTGCAAAAAGTAAAAAAATGTATGTTGCACATGAAAGTATTTCCATGTAGAACAAGGGTATATTTTAATCCTTCTGATGACTGAAAAATTGTCTTTCGAAGCACAAAATTAACACTTCTAGGCTTATATAAAATTTTATCATTGATCTGTTTAACCCAAAATCTGACCCTGGATAATCAATAACTAATTCTTAAAAAATCACTACTTTTATAAGATCACCCCAAGGAATTTCCTGTTTAGCTAAAGTAAACTATTTCTTTGAAACACTGCCTGTAGATTCTGRTTTTCACTAACACTGACAATCTTTTAGTAGAACTATTTAAAAGACACCTCCACTCTATTTCACACAACTAAGTTACTTCCAATGAGGCACAAACAACATGCCAACATCAGCACTTGCCACTCCTGCAAAGTAGGTTCAAAACCACAAGGCCATACATCCAATATAGACAGTAAATCTCATCTACAGTTTAAAATACGTATGTCAGATAYATAAACCTAAAAAGTGGTTTTACATACAGATAGGGTTCAATTCACTCACTCAAGAGTTGACTGTCTGTCTCCAACATCACTAAAGTGTGTGCTGTAGTTGTAATATGTTGGAATTTATTTACGGTGGGCAAGAACATCTGTCACTCCTGGTTGTACAGAGGTTGCAAAAAAGCTTTTTAGGTACTGCACCCTTACTCCATATGCTATCCCACCTCTCAGAAAATAGACGTGTCCTAACAAAAATAACTCTTAGCAGCACCTTAGGTGATACAACCTAAGAACTGTAAAAACTTTATCTACAGCCATTTCCACAGAGGACAGCCAACAGGACTCTTTTGATGACAGACTCAGATCCCTTAGCCTTCAACCGTGGATAAAGACTATAGATCCACAGAACAATTCAGCAAGCATTTGAAGTGACCAATTTGAGAAACTGATTAAGTGTGCTAYAAAGAGCACATTTAAAGGTTCTATCTTAGAGATAAAGGAAGACTTCAGAGACCAGGAGAGTTGCATTCTCCTGCAAAACCTCAGAGTGCTGACAATTACTGTATGAAACTCCATCAGAATGCTTAAAAACTACTCTTGCTGCAACTACTGTTACAGGCAAAAATAATTACAAAGGCTTTGAGCCAAGAAGTTGAGTAGAGAACATGAAATGAATTTTCTTTATTCTCTGTTACTGATTGATAACCTACAGTTTAAGTCGGAATGCACTAGCAACAAGAGGAAAATTTCACTCTCTACCACCCTTGTCTGGTGACAACAAACAGTTTTCTGCTACAGTGGAGTGAAAAAAAAATCTCACTGACAAATAACTTTATTTATTTAACAAATCGCTCTTTAATGAAGTTGAGTTTCCCCATCTAACTCACAATGGAACCACTCAAATTCAGGAGCAGGGGAAATAAGAATAATAGCATTTCTTCCTGCATTGCTGAACTTGGTGACATTGAACTTAGCAAAAAAAGCAAGCTCCATATTCTTGAGGTCGAACTGGGGATGTTGCATTTACGGCTCAATCCCCCACTTAGAAATTGTTGATAGATAGGTGTGCAAATGCAGAACATGCCTATGCTGCCAAGGGAGATCACTGGTCCCACCTTTTGCAGAATACAGGGCCTCAGAGTAGATGACCCAGGACCCTGTCAAGCCACGTCTTCAAAAGTGACTCCACTGCTTCAGCGGGCAAGCTTTTCATGGTTAACTGTCCTAATTGTGAAGAACSTATTTCCTACAGCCACACAAACTCTTCTGGAAGCACATCATTCCCACAGCCTCCTGCCCTGTCACCATAATCCTCTGCAAAATGTGTATCTCCATCTTTCTGTGTAAGTGGTTTATCACTAATGGAAGGTTGTGATTAGATCCCTCTTCCTCTAGGCTGAAGACATCCCATTTCTTTAGTCTTTTTCAGTTGCCAGTGGGGCCAAGGTTAGCTCTTTGTGTTACCACTCTAATACACCTGCATGATGTTATAATTTTAAGGCCTATAAACARTTGAGCATAGGATGCCTAGACTGCTCCTTGCTCTCATCTAAAATAACTGAGAAAGTACACTGAAACACCAGCTAATTTTTAATGAATACATGWTTTACAGCTCTGCAATCAAACCCTCACAAAATCACAAAATAGCTGGCGTTGAAAAGGACCTCTGGAGATCATCTTGTACAACTCCCTTCTCCTAATGGAAGTTTACCCAGAGCAGTTTGCACAGGACCATGTCCAAGCCCATTTTGAATATCTCCAGAGAAGAAAACTCCACAACCTCTCTGGACAGTCTGTTTCAGTGACCAGTCACCTTTAATGTGAGCAAGTTTTTCTCATATTGAGATGGAGCTTCCCGTGTCTGCTACCCTTTGCCTGATCACAGGGCACCACTGAAAGAATCTGACCCCAACCTCTTGCCACCTACCCTTTAACTTGAACGCACTGGTGTCACTCATCTCTTCTCAAGAGTAAAAGAGGCCCAGCTCCCTTCAACCTTACCTCACAGGACAGATGCTCCACTCCCTTAGCCATCTTCAAAGCCCTCTGCTGGCCCCTCTCCAGTAGTTTCATTTCTAACTTTCCTTTTCAATATAAAGTTGTGTTATTCCACACACAGCTTAGCACTATTCATACTATTCCTTACAACTTTATGCCAYGTGTTTGTGCTCTCAAGTGAAATAAAATAGGATAACCTGATCAAAGCCATTGAGCATTCTTCACAGCATGACTTGCAAGAAAAAGTGGAAACAATCTTACCATTTTATTGGTTGAGTAAAAGTATCAAACCACTTACGTGTCTCCAGCATTTTATCAAGTGCAGCTTGATAATCACATTACTAGTTTTTTTACACCTCAGATGTAACTAACTATCTTAGGTAAAGACKTGAAGAATATCAAGTACATTCTGACGCCATCAGACGAACAAATGTCCCTCTAATTGAAAGTGAGGAACATACTTCACTAATATTCTTTTATACTAGGTAATAAAGGCTTAAAAATATTTTTTACATTAACCACAGTCTTCTGCGTGCTGAAGTGAAGCTTAAGCGATTTATTTTAAAATGGCTTCCAGGGCGGATTAAGAGAATGAAGCACTGTACTTAAAAGAGATTAGAAGGCTCAACAAGTCTTCCCTCGTGGATGTCAAGCAGTTTACGCGAGCTGTGACTACACCCCTACATTAACACGTATTTTTTGAGAGCCGTCTGCTGGTGGGCAGATTTRTAGGGATGCTTTTCCTTCCGGCCGCGGGCCGCTGCTCCCTGCCCCCGGCCGCGGGATGCAGCAGCGCTCCGGGAGGGCCCTCCCGCCACCGCGACCGCCCGGCGGGAGGGGAGCGCGGCCGGGGCCGGGACGGGCGGGGGGCGCCGGGCGGAGACGGCGGCTCCCATCCCGCATTCCCACCGCGCGGCCCGCCGGAGGAGCCCGGCCCGCTGCTACCTGCTGGTCTCCAGGGACGAGTAGCGCTCGGGCAGGATCTGGAGGCACCGCTGGAAGAAGCGCACGTGCCGCTCCCGCAGGAAGTCCAGGCGCTCCGGCTCCCCCGGGCACGGCGCCGCCGCCGCCGCCATCTCCATCTCGCCGCTGCTGCCCGCGCCCGGCGCGCCCCGATCGCGTCACCCGCCCCGGGGCGGGGAAAGGGAAGGGGAGGGAGCGGGGGAAGGAGCGGGAAAAGGGAATGTGGAAAGGGAGAAGGGCGGCTCTGGTCACTGCGGCGGCGGTCGGGATGGCGAACCCGCGCTTAAGGGGCGGCCACAACCAGCTGCGAGGGAAACGTGCTTTTAATGCCAAGGGACATCACAGCCGGCCGGTCTGACGGGCGGCGCGCCAAACCCGACACTCTTAAAATGCAAAAGTAACGTGGGTCACGCCAACTCYGTGCCGGCTCCCGGCAAGTGCTGGCTACTGCTTCGTCCTGCGACGGGGACAGGCTGGTGTGCAGCTACARCGCTTCTCTCCAGGCTGGGACAGCTCTGACAACAAAGCAAAAAGGCRTTTAGTGCGCGAGTGCATTTGTGTCATGCTGCACGTTCGACGGTTCCCTCCTCACCTCTGAGCAGGGCGCAACAGCGGCTCTGAAGCTGCTGGGACCATCTCGTCCCTAYGTTCCTCCCAGCCTCTGTTGGGTCTGTTCAACCTGGATCGGTCTCTGGTGACCCGAATCTCGACCTCAGTGAAACCAACAACCAAAAAATAATTAGTCTTTATCGTTTATCACAAAAGGAGTTCAATTATGCCCATTGGGTCTTCATAGTGGAAGCAGGCAAGTAAATCTGAGCAGCTGAGTAAACAACACAAGCCATAACGAGACACTTCACACTATCACAGGGCATAGGAGAAAGGTGAAAACTAAGTGTGGCAACAATTGCTTCCTGTCATTAAATTTTAATTCTAAAAAGTTAAACTCTTCTAAAACGTGGTGTATGTAAATATTTCTCGAAGCCAGCCTACTTAATGGTAGAAAACCATTTGAAAAAATAAAAGCCACCACCCATATTGYAGCTCACTTGTATGGCCTGTAGGCCTTGCCCTGTGAAATACCGCCACAAGATACGTAAGGTCTAGAGATTTTTCCCTGTTTTTTAAACACAAGCAGAACAGCCCCTGCTGYAATTAGTCTCCTGAAAACAGGCATGACTTTGTTTTCCTTTATCAACCAGTGAGATAATTAAAAATCTTTTTTGATCAATGAAAAAAGGTCTGCGTAAACCACCAAGCTGCACACATCTCTGGATAAAAGAAACAGTTACCTTCTCTCTTAATTTTGCCAATCTTTTTTCTTTTTCTTGTTTGTCTGTCTCCTCAGTGTGTTTCTGTAAAACCCTTAGCTCCAGTTTACGTAGCTCCTGAAACGTAATGAATGGAAAAGCAAACTTTTATTTGGAAGTAAAATAAATGATACAAAAATACACRTGCAGCCTTTTCACTGCCTTTTTTAAATTATTATAATAGTAGAGAATAAAGTTTCACTAGGTAGCTACTTGCTACAGCTTGTCCTACACAAACAAGCTATAGTTACATGTCTCAGGAAAAAAGAAGTAGTCATTTAACCTCTTTATAAAACTGAAGTGTGAACACTGACAATATCCATTCTCCAGCAACTGCATTTACATTGATTATGGGATCTGACTCTACCAAACAAGTACTGAAACCTGCAGGATATTCAAACAATTCTTTCTCCTATCCCCATAAAACACTCAGGTCTTCTGACACCTTGAACAGCAAAGCCCAAACAGTTTTTCCCAAGTAAATTATTTACCGAAGAAATTAATCCACTTCTATATGGATAAAGAAATATRGGCTTGAGTACTCCTGTAGAATGCAGATATTCAAGAAAAGGAACATTTTTGTCTAAAATAAAGTTTCATACTGTTTGTCTGTAATAGATGCTGAGTCAACCGTTATTTGTAGTGAACTGATAATGGATCGAYGTGAATGAAACTTGGGTTTTCTGTAGGAGGCAGTCACAAATTTAAAACAATGACATACAAAAAAGGAGATGAAATTACGCACATGGTCTTGAAACTTAGAAATTTCTTCTGCAGCAATTTTCTTCCTTTCCTCCTTTTCAGCTTCCTCTCTCTTCTCATTTTCAAGCTTTTCAAGTTCCTCTGTTACTTTTTTTTCCAAGGTATTCTTTTCCAACAGTAATTTCAAATGGCTTTGGTGCTCTTTTTGTTGCTTTTTCTCTTCTAGTTTTAGTTGTGATGCTTGATCCATTGCAAATGCTACTACTTTCTGTTTCTTCCAGAGTTCAACTGCTGCTTGTTTTCTTTTTTTTTCTTCTTCTGCTTTTTGTTTCTGAGCTTCTTCACGCTGTTGCCATCTTTCCTTGAGCATTTTTTCTGATTTCTCTTTCTCCTTCAAGTTTCTTTCTTTTTCTTGCTGCTGCTTTTCTCTCCATTTTTTAATTGACTGCAAGAAACCATAGGAAAACAATCCAAGATTTTTCATGAAAATTTTACACATTCACATTGATTCAGTCTGATGAAGACACATGTTCAAATGACACAAACTGCACATAGGAACTACAAGTCTACTGAAGCCAAAACTTAGAGCAAAGAAGCACCTCTATCTGTTTCTCACTTTCTTTTTTCTATTTTATGGATTACACAAGTGGGTTTAACAGATTAACACATATCTCCTAAAACTGTTTCAGTAACAGCAATCATAATAACTTTGGGTAGCTACAAATGTTGATGTAATATGCTTTTTTATTGCAAACATGTTTCAGTTCTTTTTTTTTTCAATTAACACACTGTTTTATAGTAGTTCTTATGTCAGTATATCTTTTATTACGTAGATAGTTCTTGAGGGAATCATAATTCTGTATACCAGTCTGTGAGAGGTGTGTTGCTTACAGAGTGGGACAGACATTCTTAGGGACAAATGYAATAGGAAGACAGGATCACTTACTGCTCTAGGCTTGGTACCTAACTTGCTAGATCACTGACACCAAAAGCATTTACAATACACTTTGGCAATACATAGGCCACTTCTCTGCGTTGCTGAATCTATGCTCGTTCTTCATTATTTATTAAAGACAAATACTTTGGGAAGTTGGGGATGCTAAAGACCTCAATTATATACCATGAGCCATAAGAGAAATCCGCCTGGTACTACTACTAGAGAGGCAGATGCAAAACCAAGACAATATGCATTTTAAAAACAAGTACTTTTTCTTAAAACTACAAAAGCCCTGGAGGGGTTATTTTACCTCTTTCTTTCTTTCTTGTAATGTTACAAATTCTTGATACCATTTGTCGTGCTGTTCTATATCTTCTTTTGTTCTTCCACTGAGATACTCAAGGACTTCGTCCATGTAAGACAGCCTTCCTCTGTACTTTGTCCGTATTTTCAGAAAATTTTGATGATCATAATCATCCCAACCTCCTTGCCGCCCTCCTGTTCGCTGAAGAAATCTTTCAAACTCTATTACTTCTTCGGGTAGATGATTTTCGAGTGTTTTATCAACCTTGACCCTGGMTGATGGCCATTTTAAAACTTTTTCTGCTGTTGAGCTCTGTAATGCCCACAGTTCCACTTTTCTTTCAAAGAGACTGAGCTCATTAATGGCAGCTTTTTCCTCTTTCAAAAGCTGTTGATATCTGAAAAGAGACAAACACTGAAATGTAAGAAAAAAAMATCCAGTATTCATTGTCCATTCACCAAAAATGAATTTTGGAATTGTTCAATGCCATACAAAAGCTATTATTCAGAGATTAAGAACTGATGTGGTAACAGCACAGTTGTAATGATCCGATAATAAAGCACTACACAATGAGAATTAAGTTACCCTTTTACTGAAAGAACACATTTACACCATGCATACAATTAACTCAATCCCCTCCTGACACCGGCAGAGAGAAAGGAAAACCCCCAAACCCGCTTAGACAACACAACAGCAACAACAAACCCCCCACAATCTAATCTCTTCTACAGCCTTTCTCTAAAAAGCCTATTCATAGGCAAATCATTGTTACACTGGAATGCTGCAATTGCTGTATAAACAGCTTCCCTAAAACGGACTTTAGCAAGATTCTAACGGTGATATTTTGTGCTTTGGTTTACATAACACAGGAATCACTACCAAAAGAGTAAATCATAAGAACGGTTTGCTGGATTAATGCAAACTTTTCACTGTGTCTTATGAAAGCACTTTTTCTAGTAGCTGAAGCATGTATAAACATACATTTGCCTCTGTTCCTCTTTAAAAGCATTGATTGCATTTTCAATTTCTTCCATCATTTCCTTGATCTTTTCAACAACTGAAAAAAGAAGAGAGGAAAAAAGCATATAAATTACAAAGTCTACYGTATTTATCAGCACTATTCAGAAATACAGGTCTTGTAGAGACTTTCAGGATACACATTTCAGTGTACAAAAAAAGCATGCATTTCAATCTCAAACAGCCTTAAAAGATGAACTCTTATTCAAAAGGTGTGTTTATGAAATGACTTAGCTAACTGGAAGAAAATCTAAGTATAAATTTTTATTCCATTTAAGAAGTCTCATTTTGACTAACTTTCAGCTGATTCCCAGAATAAAACAGCCTTACATTAAAGTTCCACTTTTGTTTTTCATTTAGTGACTTAAGCACCCTCAACTCTGGTTTACACCAGGCTGTAGCAATCCTGTTTAACCTGCAGGCCTCTACTTCTACAAAGCTGACAAAGAAACATCAAAGTAAGACTTTGTCCTGTACTGTTAGCATGCTGTCATCCTAACTTTAAGGTAAGACAGCTATCCAGAGATCTATTTTGCAGTGGTAGAAAATCCATTTGTTAGATTAGATTATATAATTAGATTAGAATATGTTTTCAAATCAGCACATCTCCTATGGACACACTGAATGTGTAGTTTAACCTGTATTTTGCTAATGCTGTATAACTTAAACCTCTTATTTCAGCTTTCATGCCTTGTTAGTTCTCAGTATCTTCACTGACAATTTAAGAAGATAATGATTTTTTACAAATAAAACACTGAATAAATGAGATGGGATGCATTTTATCTAGCATCAGAAAGCCTCAGCTAGTTCTAGGAGGCCTCAAGCTGAGTTCTACAAAAGGTAATAGAT